AGCACCAACCCCCAGAGTTGGACACGACTGGACTTAATGTCAGGGGAAAACCTTTACCTTTACTAAAATTGCATTGGTTTTTCTGGCTCACTCCTCGCTTTGCACATGATGTACTTGGGCCTGTATCAGAAGGCGTGGGTGTGCTGCCGTAAAGGCCAGTTGGAGGCACACATCCGGGACTGCATCAATGCCTGGTTGCTTCCATTCAGGGCTCTTGGCTTGCAGACCCCTGGGATGTCCCATTCTGCCTTCCACTGGAGGGAATCTGATGGGCTCCACCAGGCGTTTCACCCTGCCCTGCATGCTTGAAATACAGGCAGAGGTTAAAAGAAGATGGGAGCCAGGGACAAAATGAGAAAATGGCTTTCTCTGTCTACGAGGCTCCTGCCCGGAGGCAGATGAATAGATTGGTGCAGGAAGGTTGTGCCCTTCCCCGCAGGCACAGAGCGAAGCTCTCACAAGATAAGCAAAGCAAAGGGCAGAACGGGTCTCTGAAAGAATAATACCCCCAGGGCTTGGGACGCCTCGCACATCGATTAAAAATAGCAAAAAAATAATAATAATGCTATAATAGGAACCTGTGGATCTTTAATATTTCCCATCCTTCCAATGCCTACCAAAGACTTCCAAAATAAATAAATAAAATAAATAAATGGGGACTTTGTGCCAGTTTTGTCATCAGAACAAAGGTGTCCTGCCAAGGTGTGACAACTTCTGTGAACACTTTCATGAAGGTCTTCTCAACTGAGCTCATGGACTGTGGAGGGTCACATGAGGTAATCTGCAACGTGTGAAGGATGCCATGTACTTGGGCCTCGTGCAGCAACCATGTGGAAGAGGACCACTGCAGGTTGGGGGTTAGTGGTCAGCCTTACTAACACAAGGTCTGGCCAACTGAGAGTTTCCTGATGCAAAGAAAGACCGCATTAACAGAGCTTTTCTCACAGGCCAATGCTTTTAAGGCAGCATCGGCTGCCACAAAAACACAAAGCTGTAGGTGTCCACTTTTCAAATTCTCCACAGATGAAGGAACAGCCTGAGCTATTCCTATGGCTAAATAAAGGCCTGCTGCCCTCTCACCTGTATTATTGTTCTCTGTGTTCGGAACAGAGCCACGGGCGTTGAAAGCAAGTCTGGGCACGCTCCAAGCTTAGCCCCGCGGATAGCACTACACATGCTCGGAACAAAAACCACACAGCAGCTTGACTGGGTAGCCAGGGCCTGGCCTCCTGACCCCCTGCCTCCTTTTGTATTCTTGAGATTTTCCAATCTGTGTGTTTTCCTTCACTTCCTCCTCCGCCAACACCACCTCTGTGGGTTTTTTTCTCCAAAATAATAACAGCAGGATTTATAATAGACCTGAGGAGAGGAAGTGCTGGAGCACAAGATGAAGAATGACTCACCTCTACCGTCTTATGCCTTAGTCGTTGGTCGCAAGGCAGCCGCCCAGAGATAAGGCGAGAAGGGGCACCACTGTGGGGGCGTGGAGAGTGACGCATCGTGAGGGTTCATCAAACCATGCACGATGTCCAGAGAGTAGGAAGTGGTGGGCTTCCCCCACTCTTTGAGACCTACAAGAAGACCAGGCTTCTCAATGAGAACAGCTTGGCAGCAGAGCCGGAGAAAGGCAGGAGAAAACTTTTTTTCACACTCAAAGGTTTGCTGATGCAAGATGTGGTGAAAACCACTGGTTTAGAAGACTTTAAAAGAGGTAAGAAAGTCCACAGGGAAAAAGAAAGAAAGGTCTAGTTTAGGACTATTCCTCTGAAGCAGTGTTTCCCAACTTTCCTAATGCCGCGACCCCTTAATACAGTTCCTCATGTTGTGGTGACCCACCAACCATAAAGTTATTTTCGTTCGCACTTCTTAACAGTAATTTTGCTACTGTTATGAATCATAATGTAAATATCTGATATGCAGGATCAGGCCCATAGCCAGGATTTTGATTTGGGGGGTGGGGGGGGGGCTAAGGATTACCCTAGCACACCTTTTGTATTATTATCCCAATACCCCCATGCATATGGGATATATTGAGCATGGTGATCAGATCATGATATGAATAAACATAACAGTTTAAATAATGTACCAGTAAGGCCTTCTCGCGGACCACCCTGATAATTTGGGGGGGGGGGGGCTTAAACCGCTCAACCCCCCCCCCCCCCCCCCCCTACATGCCTGTGCAGGATGTATTTTCATTCACCGGACCAAATTTGGCACAAATATCTCATACGCCCAGATTTCATTACTGGTGGGGTTGTGGGGGATTTATGTTGTCATTTGGGAGTTGTAGTTGCTGGGATTAACAGTTCACTTACATTCAAAGAGCATTCTGAGCTCCACCAGTGATGGAACTGAACCAATCTTAGCACACAGAACTACCGTGATCAACAGAAAATACTGGAAGGGTTTGGTGGGCAATGACCTTAGGTTTTGGAGTTGTAGTTCACCTACATCCAGAGAGCACGGTGGACTCAAACAATGATGGATCTGGACCAAACTTGGCACGGATACTCAATATACCCAAATGGTAACATAGGGGGAGTCTGGGGAAAATAGACCTTGACATTTGGGAGTTGTGGTTGCTGGGATTTATAGTTCACCTACAACCAAAGAGCATTCTGAACCCCACCAACGATAGAATGGGACCAAACGTCCCACTCAGAACTGTCATTCCTTGAAGGGACTTGCTGGCATGAGCCTCCTTCAAGTATCGCACGCTCTCCCTCACCCCACCCATGCACACCACGCTGCCATGCACCAAGCACGCCTCCTCTCCCCTCCCCGCTTGGAGCCTCAGAAACAGTCCTCTCCTTGGCTGAGAGGCCAGTAATCTCAGCAGAGGAGGGCTTTTGGTGGGAGTATTCACTGTCTGTTTCCAAAAAGGAAGAGAAGGACAGGTGGAGAGATCTTCAGCCTTCTCTGCCAAAAGGGTTCCTAAGACCACCAGAAATATATGTTTTCTGATGGTCTTTGGTGACCCCTCCGAAATCCCCTCGTGACCCCCTGAAATGCTGCTCTGGAAAAACCATGGTGGAAGAGAGACTATGCCCTTTAAGTGCTGCAATTGTATGGTTGAGTTACTGAAGGGGAAAAGGATACCTAGGTGAGAGGAACCCTTGTTCAGCCCCATGGAGTCTATGCACTTCTGCAAGGAAAAGCGAATGGGGTTGGAATACAGTTCATAACTGAGAATCCCTCATGACAAGGATCTGAATTAGTCAGTCGTCTGCTTCTGGCACTTTGGGGATTTCCTGAGTCTCTCTGAGATTTACCGGGATTTACCTTCAAGAAATCACTCTAACCTTTCATAGGAACAGCAGGCATGGATCTTTTTAGCTGCTCAGTAATATGGGATTATTAACAATGAGGCTGCTGATATAGCACGTGTTGAAGGGAAGAGGAGACATTTTCAGATTTATCAAAGTTTTAAAAAATAGGAATGGGATATGCCGGAAGTGCAATTGTATCCCTGAGACTCCGACCAGGGAGGGGAGAGTAGGCATGCTCAGCGCATAGCAGTATGGTACGCATGTGCAGGTGAGGGAGAGTGTGCAAGGCTAGAGGGAGGCTTGCACCAGTAAGTCCCTTGAAGGGATGGGAAGCTTGGCCCAATTCTATCATTGGTGGGGTTCACAATGCTCTTTGATTGGAGGTAAACTATAATTCCCAGCAACTACAACTCCTAAATGTCAAGGTCTATTTTCCTTAAACTCCACCACTGTTCACATTTGGGCATATTGAGTATTCATGCCAAGTTTGGTCCAGATCTATCATTGCTTCAGTCTACAGTGCTCTCTGGATGTAGGTGAACTACAACTCCTGAAAACTCTCTCTGGATGTAGGTGAACTACAACTCCTGAAAACTCTCTCTGGATGTAGGTGAACTACAACTCCAAAACTCAAGGTCAATGCCCACCAAACCCTTCCAATATTTTCTGTTGGTCATGGGAGTTCTGTGTGCCTAGTTTGGTTCAATTCCATCATTGGTGTTCAGAATGCTCTTTGATGGTAGGTGAACTATAAATCCCAGCAAGTATACCTCCCAAATGACACAATCAATCCTCCCCAGTGCCACCAGTAGTCAAATTTGGGCATATTGGGTATTTGTGCCAAATTTGGTCCAGTGAATGAACATACATCCTGCATATCAGATGTTTACATTACAATTAGAACAGTAGCAAAATCTCAGTTATGAAGTAGCAATGAAAATAATGTTATGGTTGGGGGTCACCACAACATGAGGAACTTATTAAGGGGTCACGCCGTTAGGAAGGTTGAGAAACACTGCTATAAGTAGATACCAAAATGGCAGTGCTTGAACAGCTGAATCCTAGGGTGGGCAAAGAGCTCTTCAGCCACTTGGATGGAATGATCTACAAGGCCCTGAAATGTGGGGAGAGAGAATTTCTAGAGGTGGCAGCCCCTCTCTTCTGCAGATATAGCACCCCACTTCTTTCCAGGCCTCCATGAGCTGCTACCTCTCTCAACCCGTACACTTCACCCAGACAATGTGAAAATGTCTTGAAAAATTGTGAAAGCTCAAATGCTGCAGGAAGGAAAGGGGAGAGGTGGGGTCCCAATGCCACCGTTTGCTTCATTTGTACACAGCATTCTGCGTGTGGTGCAGAATTTTGATGGGGCGAGGAGCAAATTCCACCCAGAGCCAACACGTGAGCAACGGCAAGGTGGGAGCGCTGGGAAGGGGGCCTAAGCCGCCCTTGCATTCTATTTCCTGACAGAACGCCTGCAGCAGAACTAATAACCCCACAACGGGACCCTGAACACGCTCACAGCCTGACAAACCTGTTTTCCGTGATTGGGAATGATGGATGCAGCTCATATGCTGCCGGGGGTTAATTCACTTACAGCCTGAGTGCGGCTCCTCGCAGAAGCCCTTCGGTCAAGCATTATCCTCTCCCTCCACCCTTTTCCTGTGTCGCTGATCCTGTTACCCCCTCCCCTCCTGTCCTGGCCCAGGTCCCCACAGACCCATCACTCACTCTCCAGCCGCTGGACCAGGGCTTTGTCCTTCAAGGCCACTTCCGTCTTTATCATCATGGCCTCTATTGGGACATAGAGGACCGTGCGGCCCCGCATTCTGGAACGGGTATCTGGAGAGGAACACATATGGAGGAGAGTCCGGTTAACATGACAAAGCAGAAAACTGTTGTTTGAGTTGTTGTAGGTTTTTTTGGGCTATATGGCCTTGTTCCAGAAGCATTCTCTCCCGATGTTTTGCCTGCATCTATGGCAGGCATCCTCAGAGGTTGTGTTTACAGAAGTGTGGAAGGAAGGAAGGAAGGAAGGAAGGAAGGAAGGAAGGAAGGAAGGAAGGAAGGAAGGAAGACAGGCCTTTCCTCCAAAATTACGTAACAGGAAATACTGTCAAAGTCTTTCATGGCCGAAATCAGTGTTGTGAGTTTTTTGGCCATGTTCCAGAAGCATTCTCTCCTGATGTTTTGCCTGCATCTATGGCAGGCATCCTCAGAGGTTGTGAGGGAAATTCCAGGCAAGAAACAATCAGGGCCAGATAAGCAACCCCCCCCCCCAACAAAGGATTCCCCCAGGTAGTAAGAAGCCAAACCTTGAAACTGCTAGGCCATTAAAAGCTAATCAAGATGGCCATTTATTTATTTATTTATTTACAACATTTATATGCCACCTTTCTCACCCCGAAGGGGACTCAGAGTGGCTTACAAGCTATATATGCATACAATATATTATATTATTAGGATAGTACAATATCAGTATTATATATTACTATATTGTACTATACCATTATATTGTAATATTATTAGTAATATTACATGTAATATAAATATATAATTATAATATCATATTATTATTAGTGTTACATTGCATTACATTATAATATTATAAATATCATATGTATATACATTGTATATACATCCTTGAAGTGACTGGACTGACCTTGAGGGAGCTGGGGGTGGTGACGGCCGACAGGGAGCTCTGGCGTGGGCTGGTCTATGAGGTCACGAAGAGTCGGAGACGACTGAACGAATGAACAACAACAACATATACATTGCATTATATTGCATTATATAATATTATATTATATTATTAGCATAGTACAGGAGACATGATGGAAGTGTCCCCTGGCCCCCTCTCTTTTCACTCTGGCCCAGAGCGGCAGTTGGTGCTGGGGGGAGGGCCCCTCAACTTTTGAAACATTGACACCTACCTCAAACAGACCAGAGTTTTTTCTCCCACCCTGGACATTCCACAGATATAGAAACCCCACTTGCCTAGTTTCCAACACACCTCACAGCCTCTGAGGATGCCTGCCATAGATATGGGTGAAACATCAGGAGAGAATGCTTCTGGAACATGGCCAGACAGGGAAAATCACAACAACACAGGAAAAATTGTTCATGGCTTTTCCCCGAGCTCACCCGTTATCATTCATAACAGCTAACACCCGAAGAGCTCTACATTTCACAGATCAATCTGAACTACATTATTGATCAGAACTATATTAAGACGTAGAAGGTCTTAGTACTTAATGAAAGGGTAAATCCAGCTCAACGTAAAGGTCAAATGTGGAATGAAAGGAAGACGGAGGCCTACCTGTGAGCGAAGTCATGAAGTGGTAGACTTCTGAGAAAAATTCATTCTTGATGCTCTCGGGCCAAGTTGATTTGCGGAAGAGCCGGGGGAGGTAGACTGCATTGAAAAGGCGCCACAAGGAGTCAATATAGGGCTTCCGGACCGTCCCCACTTGCACGACCTCGGGGAAACTCTCTTCCATGATCTCTGCGTTCTCTTGGCGGATAAAATAAGTAATCTGATCTGGTTCCTGCAGAAACAACAGTGAATTTGTGGTGGAGGCACATTTTCCCTGGTGAATCCTTCCTGGAGAAAGAGCTTCTGAACTGCCCTCCTTCCCCCTGGGTCCTGCCCTGGGCCACACAATCCACAGCAGAAATGGAAACCAAAGAGTCGTTTCACCGTGGACATCAGACTTCCAAAACAAACAGAAGTGGATGGATGTTGGGTGGTAGACCGTGACTGACACGCTTCTAAATGAAGAACAGAATCTCCCAACCACTTTCAAGCAAAATCTGTTTTGGGACTCAGAGCAATTTAACCTCCTCCAACCCTGAGAGACAAACTCATAAAATAATTGATCAGAGGATCAAGACACAGAATGCTTTCTAGGAATTTGCTACGTCCTTCAGGACAACCCTATGGTAACTTCTGGCAGAAGTATAACAGAATCACCTATAGAACCTCAAAAATTCCTAGACAGGACATATTTTTCCAGGTGCAGATCTATAAAACTGGGGCAGCACTCGCTCAGGAATAGAAGTCATACCCTAATGTGATCAACATATATGTTGTTTCACAATTTAATAAGTGATTCAATGGGTCTATTCTAATTGAGACTAACTATATGATTCAGGCCATCATGGACAAGGATAGTGTGTGTAATCCCATTGTCATGAACTCTCACTCATGCTGGGTTGTTGTAGATTTTTTTGGGCTATATGGCCATGCTGTCCAACTAAATCCTGACTTACAGCTCATGGTCTTTGGCCAAAAGGGAGGGCAGAATACTGCAAGGACATATGAACCTGGCATAAAAGTCAATTGCCTTGAGGTAGGGGGGAAAGTGGGCTCTGGAATGTGGAAAAGGGCAAGCATCAGGCACCAGGACTCTTGGGTGATTTATGATATTGTAGCTAGGCCTATATACACAGGCAGTAGTGCTAGACTTTTGTATTCCAAACAATAAAGACGCATGGTAACTTTAGCCGCTGTGTGTCTTGGTGTATTCTTTCCAGTGAAGATCAAACCCATAGCAGCACAGCTGGAACAAAGAACCCACACAATTTGTTTGGAATACAAGAGTCTAGCACTGCTAACCATCTATATAAGCCTAGCTTTTGTTGTTTATTCCGTTCCGTCGCTTTCGATTCTTCATGACCTCCTGGACCAGCCCAGGCCAGAGCTCCCTGTCAGTCACCCCCACTCCTTCAAAGTCAAGCCAGTACTTCAGGGATACCATCCATCCATCCACCTTGCCCTTGGTCGGCCCCTCTTTCTTTTTCCTTCCATTCTCCCCAACATCATTGTCTTCTCCAAGCTTTCTTGTCTTCTCATTATGTGGCCAAAGCACTTTATCTTTGCCTCTACTATCCTTCCTTCCAATGAGCAGTCGGGCTTTATTTCCTGGAGTATGGACTGATTTGACCTTCTTGTGGTTCAAGGCACTCTCAGAATTTTCCTCCAGCACCACAGTTCAAAAGCATCTATCTTCCTTCACTCAGTCTTCCCTATGGTCCAGCTCTCACATCCATAGGTTACTACGAGGTATAACATTGCTTTAACTATGCAGATCTTCGTTGCCAGTGTGATGTCTCTACCCTTCACTCTTTTATTAAGATTGGTCATGGCTCTCCTCCCAAGAAGGAAACGTCTTCTGATATTGTAATTAGGCATCTTTGTGCCTAATTACAACATCATAAATCACCCAAGAATACCGGTGCCTGGTGCTTGCCCTTTTCCACATTCCAGAGCCCACTCCCTCCCTCCCCCACACCTTGGGGCAACTCATGGAATTGGGTTTTTTGGTGGGTTCATATGTCCTTGCAGGATCCTGCCCTCCCTTTTGGCCAAAGGTCATGTGCTCTATGTCAGGACTGAGTTGGATGGCATGAGTGAGAGTTCATGAAAACCATCTTTGTTGTCACTTTGATGCCTCTGGAGTTTCTTAGAATGCCTGAATTCACATTCCTGAAGTACAAGGCTGCTGGTGGTCAACCCTCACGATGAGTCCATACTATATCCAGGACCAAAAGCAGAGTTTCTCTCAAGACCAGTTGCTGCTCTTGTGACCTGCTTCTGGTTTTGTATTGGAACATCAGGAACAGAGTGCTAGACCAGGTCTAATCCACAATGCTCTTCCAATGCCATGCTATTATAGAAGCATGCCATAAGAAGCTGGATGCTGGCACAAGAAGACCAAACCCTCCCTTATGACTGAAGAAACAGAGGAGTCCTCAGGAGGTCTAGGACATGATGAGGCAGACTCACCTGGGGCGGCATGATGAACTCTGCTTTCAATCCAGCAAATTCATCAATGTAAAACACAAGCATCTGCTTAGTCGGGTCTGTCAGAAACGCATCCATGGTGGCCTCATGCTCTTCTGTCCACATCTCATCCTTGAGGCCAGATAGGGCCAGACGGTCGCGGATTAAGGGTTTCTGGACAAACAAAGTGAGCAAGGAAATGAAGACCTTGGCAAAAGCTCAAGCAAAAGACTGGGAGAAAACTCCAGTTTTCATACAGAGGCAATATTGAGTGGCATGACCTCCTAACTGTGGAAACAAGACTATTCCAGTGTAAAGGGGCACAAGCTCACCTGTTCATCCTTGACAGCTAGCCAAGTAGGCATCTGCTTGGCCACTGTGAGAAATCGGATGCTGGACTTAATATGCCTTTGGCCTCTGCCAGTAGAGCATTTATTTGTCGTTCAAATGTCCTTCTGTTAAACAATTACATGGAATGACACAGTCCACAGAGGATGCGGCAACCAATGGCTACACATTATCTCATTATGTCCCACAAAAAAAATAATCTGAGAATTTATTAAGTGTGAGAATGCTGTTTCGCTCACATTGTCTTTCAAGTTCTCCCAAAAGCATCTGGCTGGCCACAGTGGGAGACAAAGGCTAGACAAGACAGGCCTTTTATCTGGTCCAACGTGGCTGTTCCTGTCAATTTAGACACAACCCCTTTAAGGGTTCCAGCAAGAAGGAAAAGTAGCTGGCGAGGCAGAAATGGCCTAAAAGGAGCTTGAAGGCCCATCCTTCCCAAACTATAAATATCAAGGCCACAAATTGCAGGAGAGCTGCCTTTCCCCTATCCAATTCCAACCCATAATAATAATAATAATAATAATAATAATAATAATAATAATAATAATAATAATAGCAAAGACTCTGACATAAACCAGTACAGGTGGTCATTGGCACACTGGGTGCTGTGCCAAAAGATCTCAGCCGGCATTTGGAAACAATAAACATCGACAAAATCATGATTTATCAACTGCAAAAGGCCACCTTACTTGGATCTGTGCACATCATTTGAAAATACATCACACAGTCCTAGACACTTGGGAAGTGTTCGAGTTGTGATTTTGTGATACGAAATTCAGCACATGGATCTCGTTTGCTGTGACATACTGTGCTTTTGTGTCAGTAAAATAATAACAACAACAACAATAACATTGTTTTTAGCCCACACCTCTCTCTCAAAAGGGTGCTTTACAATACAAAAACAGGCAAATATTCAATAAATTACAAAATAATAAACAATATCAGGAATAATACAAAATACAGCACAATAATCACATAATGATTATAATGAAAGAATTAAACATTGAAATGGGGACCAGATAGCAATAAACCAATTAGACAATAAACTAGGATATATGTAAACATTAAATATATATAATTAAAAGCAGTTAAACATAAATTGGCCACAAATTGCCAAGGCCAGAAATTGCAGGAGAGCTGCCTTTCCTCTATCCAATCCCAACCTTTAACAAATAATAATAATAATAATAATAATAATAATAATTGAAATGGCTAACACAGGTGTATCATAGCCAATATATATTGCAAATGGCAAACAATGGGTACAGAGGCAGTCAAGGGGGTGAACTAGTAATCCTGTCCTGGCACTCTACACAAAGCCTGCATGTGAGTGCACAAAGAAAGATGCCCCTTCCTGATAACTTGGCCCCAACTAGGACCCAAAAATCTTGTCCTCGCACTTTGCTATTGTTTTGCACCCAAAGTTATAACACTCTATCTTACATTGCTCTCTAGCCTTGCTGCTGCCAATTGACGTACGCACTTTATCCATCAATCCTATTCCCACCATTGATTGGCACCAGTCCGCCCACCCGTGCCCAGAAACTGATCATTATTGCAGATTCATTGGTTGCTGGTTGATATCTACTTTTATATTTTGTTATAATGTTGCTGTAATTTGTTTTGTGCTGTTGTTTATGTATTTAAATATGTTATATTTTAACTATGTTGATCGGACTCATCTCCATGTAAGCTGCCCCAAGTCCCTTTGGGGAGATGGAGTTGGGGTACAAAAATAAAGTTGTTGTTGTTATTATTATTTGAAACACAACAAGATTACTACACAGCAAACAAGATCATTATGCTGTTTGTTGTATTGGATCACACATCAGACACTTCCCAAGAGTCTAGGACTTTGTGATGTATTGGCGAATACTTTGTGCAGTTCCCAGTAGGGTGGCCTTTTGCAGCTGACAGGTGGTAATTTTGTCAGTGCCGACTGTGTTTAAGTGTAGGCCAAGGTCTTTAGGCACTGCACCCAGTGTGCCAATCACCACTGGGACCACTTTTACTGGCTTGTGCCAGAGTCTTTGTTGTTGTTGTTATTCAGCCAGGCTAGACAATATGGTAAATTACTTGCATGCAATCAACAGAACTGATATTTGCTACTGAAATACAACCAGGAGAACGGAAGAGAATCAAGACTGAACAATCAGTTGGGGCTCATACCTTCTCCTGTGCAGTAGAGTCTTAATCATAACACCTTTAGGACATGGTTTGCATCATGGCTATGATATAGAGCCAAAGGAGTTAGGCAGCCCTTTGCTAGACACCACAGTCCCGATGTTAATCACCCCCCAACTGTGCCCTAAGTTTGCTAACCAAATAAGAACAACCCGGCATCTGCGTGCGCACATTTCACATGGCTGGCCTGGCCCTCAGCTGTGGAGCAGAAAGCCTCGCCTCTCAGCCTCCGCTGCTTTATGCCGCCGGTCCGCTACATGCGAACATGTCCTACGTGCCGCCAGCCGGGCCCAGAAAGTGGGAACGACAAGGCTCCTGATCTTGTTATGTCTCCCTTGTTCCGCCAGGCCCCCGCGGGGGTCCTCAGAGAGAAATGGAAGAGGGCTAATTTGTTAAGATGATTGAAAGACAGTGGCTCTGGAGAGAGCTTTGGCAGATTGTGGCACCGAGCTGTTAAAGCAATACGATTCCTGGCTGAGGAGGAGGCAAATGGGGAAAAGACAATTAAGGGCAGGAATGGCGAAGAATGAAAAGGAGAAAATACGGGGCGGAGGGGGGGGGGGGGGCTGCCGGTAGCCACTCTTTGGCCTTACATAGAAAATGTGGATTTTTTTCCTCCCCGAACATATTAAGACATTTTTCCCCTCATACCCAAGAGCTTCTTAAAGAAGACTTGGGAAATCAAGATCAAATTAACACAGCATCTGGCGTGGAAGTGTAGAGCCAGATGTTCCCTGCCCAAATGCGACAAAATTGTGTAACATTCCACGCAGGCAACTTCCCGCTCTCTGTTTCTTGTTCTTTGCCCTTGGGGTTTCAGCGGGAGGATATATTTGGGACTGGCAAGGAGCGGAGCTGGATCGGGACCATGACATGTTCCTCCAGTGAAGGATCTTCTGCCTCTCTCTACTTGATGGTAGGCAAGTGGAGAACAGACCTGCCACCCACACCAGGACCCAGCCTCAGACCCTCTCACAGCACCCTTGGAGATGCGCAAAAGCCCTGCCGCCTGAAAGGCAAGTTTCCGCCAGGAATATTCCGTTTGCTGCACAGATGCAGCTGCCTCGGTAATAGGACATGGCTTTTTTCCAAAGGACAAAATCAGGTCTGGGACAGAAGTTTAAGACAGAGGGTGAGGGGAGAGAAGGGAGCCCTAAGAAGCAGAGGAAAAAGAGACCTCATCCGCAGCCAAGAAGATAATCAAGAGCAGCCATACAGGCCATGCTGGAGACAGACGGAGGCAGAGAGAAACCCAAACTGAGTTGCTTTCTTTTTCCCCACTCACTCGCTTGACCCTGCACATACTTCAGCCGTATTCAAGAAGCATGTACAAGTTCACAAGAACTATTAAAGCAGTGGTTCTCAATGCCTCTCAATGCCTTCAGGTAAGGCCAAAGGATACACATGAAGCTCCTGAAGCCATATCTTCTGTATTGTCCACATTGGAAATAGAGTGAGAAGTTAAACCTGTCCTGTTCATCTTGTACAAGTGCATGTACCAAGGTGAAGATAGGTAACTGTTGGATGCTGTGGATGGGTGCGGTCACATTAGTCCTTCCCCTCACCCAGAAGACCTTAGAGCAGTGTTTCTCAACCTTCCTAATGCCTCAAACCCTTAATACAGTTCCTCATGTTGTGGTGAGCCCCAAACATAACATTTTCATTGCTACTGTAATTTTGCTACTGTTATGAATCATCATGTAAATATCATTCACTAGACCAAATTTGGTACAAATACCCGATACGACCAAATTTGAATACTGGTGGGGTTGGGGGTGGATTGATCTTGTCATTTGGGATTTTATTTATTTATTTATTTACCATATTTAAATACCACCTTTCTCAACCCAAGGGCAACTCAGGGCAGTTTACAAATGGCACAATTCAATGCCCCCAATAACATAAAAGCAATTAAAACATTTAGCATAAATAACATCAGATGAAACAGTAAAAACCAATAAAAACAGTTATAGTTGTAGTTGCTGGGATTTGTAGTTCACCTACAATCAAAGAGCATTCTGAACTCCGACAACAATGGAATTGAACCAAACTTGACACACAGAACTCCCATGAGCAACAGAAAATACTGGAAGGGTTAGGTGGGCATTGACCTTGAGTTTGGAGTTGTAGTTCACCTACATCCAGAGAGCACTGTGGACTCAAACAATGATGAATCTGGACCGAACTCGGCATAGATACTCAATATGCCCAAATGTGAACACTGGTGGAGTTTGGGGAAAAGAGACTTGACATTTGGAAGTTGTAGTTGCTGGGATTTATAGTTCATGTACATTCAAAGAGCATTCTAAACCCCACTAATGATAGAATAGGGCCAAACTACCCACACAGAACCCCCATAATGAACAGAAAATACTCTGTTTCCTGATGGTCTTTGGTGACCCCTCTGACACCCCCTCGCAAACCCCCCAGGGGTCCCAATCCCCAGGTTGAGAAACACTGGATTAAAGCTTAACAAAGAGCGGGTCACCATTAAACACTCTCCATTAAAAGTGCCCAGCTTTGGTGACACCAGCATCTCCTCCTTGCTGCAGCCTTCCTCAGAGCAAGATCAAGAAGGTGCCTCTCCAGAACTTACCAAATCTATCTCCTGTTCTTCTGGGCTGCAGAGATTAATCACCTCTTCCTCACTCTCCTCCTTCTCTTCCACTGGTTCTGGAGGAACATCTTCTAAGGAAGGGCAAAAGGCAAAAGGCGCAAATCAAAAGTGGACCAAGGACAGGGGCATCTGCCAAGCAATAGTCCTGGACAAAATGTGTTGTACAGGTGCTTATCCCTTTCACAGCACTTCTTTGTACCTTGCAATTAGTTCAGGTCAATTCCAACAGAATCAAAGGCTTCAAAAGGGTCGCATACACCCTCCACTGCCTTTTGGAAATAAGCCACCTATCCCAGATCAATATATTATTTCCAAACCAGTATGGTGCAGGAAGGGAGTGAATGGGTCGAGGTGAGAAATTGCTCAAGGTAGTAGGCAAATGTTAAAACATTAGCATAATTTGGTGAAAAACCAATCATGGCCACAATCTGGAAGCATACAGAAGTCCATTTTGTGTTAGTTTTTCTGGAGGTCTTTTGGTATTTTAAGCAAGCATTGAACAGAGGCTTAATCTCTTTCCAGGCATGGTTATATAAGATTTTGTGAGTTGTTCTCTCATTTTTTAAAGGCCTGGAGCTTTAGGAGCTGTAAGGGGCTTTGTCCACCTTGCGATAGGTCTTCAGTTTGATTAAGCTCTGCTCATTTTGCATGATTATCCAGCTGCCTGGTCTTAAGCAAAGGGATACCTGGAAAGATGTCCTAGCCAATTGAAAAGAGTACAGCTCTTCCCCTTTCCACGTCATCTGCAGCAACGTCTTACACCCCAATAGAAAGTAAAAGGGGGGGGGGGGGGGAATTCAATCATAAGCAGGGAACCTGCCAAAGAAAACCACCGCACCGGAAAAAAATGCATTCTGCTATCTCTAGCGCAACAGGCACAGGCACAGGCACAATCTCAGGTGCATCGTAAGGATTCCATCATCACTTGCAGAGGAAAGGGTAATTTTCTCGGGTCATCTTCATTTTTATAGCTCCAGAAATGTCTCTGCGGCTCTTAACATCACATCCAAATCCCATAAACACCTGCTAGAGTGCAGGCAAGCTAAGGCTGAGGTGTTCTGCCCCTCCCAGCATCAGGTCTGGGGAATTGAGACACCTACTTTCCAAAGCCATGGGTAACTCATGAATGCCAACTTCTCAAATCACGGGCCGCTTTACTCACACACAAGCCTTACAGCGGCTTGGACTGCATGGGTTGTCAGGGCCATCCTGGTAAAGCAAAGGGACTTCCGGACAAGTCTTTTATAAAGATTTGCCTCATTCGAGCAGTTTTATAGAGCCACCTCAAAGCAATGTTTTCTACTTGTCATCTTCCTATATTTATTTATTTTTCATTTTCCCCGCTTCTTAGGACTCAAGGTGGCTTACATAAACTAAAACCAATAAATATAGACAATACATAACGTTACAAATCTGCAACTGGTCCCTAACACAAAACAAGACTCTTCACTTGCTTAACAAACAATAGCAAAGCCTGGCATTTCTAGGAAGGGAGTTCTACAATCTGAAAGCTACCACAAGGAGGAGGGAGCAAGCTTGTTTTCTGCTTCCCTGGAGACTAGGACATGGAACAATGGCTTCAAACTACAAGAAAGGAGATTCCATCTGAACATGAGGAAGAACTTCCTGACTGTGAGAGCCGTTCAGCAGTGGAACTCTCTGCCCCAGAGTGTGGTTGAGGCTATTTCTTTGGAAGTTTTTAAACAGAGGCTGGATGGCCATCTGTCAGGAGTGCTTTGAATGCAATATTCCTTCTTCTTGGCAGGGGGTTGAACTGGATGGCCCATGAGGTCTCTTCCAACTCTATGATTCTACGAAGAAGGTCCTGTGTCTATGTTTACATCAGATGGGGGACAGAAGAGACTGCTAGAAGATCACCATTCATGGGCATGTTTAGATGGAGAATACAGTCCTTCAGAAAATCTGAACTGCACAGAGCTTTGTAGGTCATAATCACCATGTTGCACTATATCTGGGAGTATTTGCCAGTGGTGCCATTGTAACAAGGGGCCTGGGTGCTCCCTTCAGATAGCCCCTGTGAATGATCTGGCTCAAGATTTTTGGCTCAGCTCTTAAAACATTTGTCAAAGTATGGTCCACAAGAAATTTCTTTCAGCAATCCAAACAGGGTGTCACAAAGGCATGTGTCATCCTGGCCAGATGTGGTGTCTCTGTTGTGGTTTAGTCATATGAAGATGAGGGGTTTGGGGGTTCAAGGCCTGATGATTCTGTAGGTGAGCAAACAGAGGGAGTTTTAGAGCAAAATGGTTCTGTAGATGAGGGAATGGAGGGGGTTTCGGAGCAAGATGCTGTTGCTGAGACAAAGTGTAAAAGTGGAACTGTTTTGGAATCCAATAGGCAGGGAGAGGAGGACAACATTAGCTCATCCGAGGGAGCAGCTGGCTTAGACAGAGATACCAGGCTGCTTCTGAGGGGCCAGAGATTCAGGTGCAGGAAAATCCGTGAGAAAGAGGCAGAAGAAGGCTTTTCAAGGACAAAGGAATGTGTCCTTGTTTTGCACTCCTTAAATTAGTGAGAAAGCTGTTTGGATTTTAGATCAAGCAACGTTGCTACTGGAGTGAGGAACTCCTGTCTCGTTCCTAGTTCATGCCTTAGTTCAAGAACCAAGATTCATGCTCAAGTTTTGCTCCTTGTTTTATGGATTAACCTTTGAATTCATGGCCATGTTTTGCTCCTTGTTTCCTGGATTCATGTTCATGTTTTAACCATAGTTTTCTGGGTTTACCTATTGCCTTTGGAACTTACTTCCTTTATTAACTCTTGGATTATTATCCTTCCATTTGCTTAAGTTGCCTTTGGCCCTTTTTATATGTGTTTTTATCAAAAAACTGTTTGTTACCACGTTTGGTTTCTCAGTAAGTGCTGTAAGCAAGGTGAACTCCTGCTGAGGTGCAACAGTCTCTAGGAATGGGTACAATTTCCTGCTGATGTGCAACAGCCTCTAGAAATGGGTGCAAATGGCACATGTATCTTATACGTGTAAAGCTATGCCTGGTCACCATCAACAGACACTGCAATCCAATGGCTCTGGAGGCTGTTGAGATGGGTAAGACCGGTATGGACAATTCTGAGCTGGATTTCCAGCAGCTGCATCATGTATTCAATCCAAACTCTACATTTACAGGAGACGGTCATTTCGGATGGAGATGCAGGCCTCCTATAGTTTTTTCAGCTTGGAAATAGATGCCTGTCACAGCTTCTGTGGCCCCAGTGACCATTCATGTCTCGTTCGAAACCCTCCCGCCCTCTTTGTTTGAATCAGTAATCTGTTTTTCACACAACAGTGGAGATTAATTCATTGCTATTTTTCAGCTTTGGAGTAATTTCACTAACCCGCAATGCAGGAACGTGTGGGATCAGGGGTTCAACTTTTACTCAAGGGCAGACTGTCCCCTTGGCATCCAGGGAACCATAGCTTACTATGGACAATCCTCCAAAACAGATTTCACACTCATGCACACACAAAATCTTGTGCCCGCGTTGCCCTTAAAACCACAGCCACCAGTGAGAAGTGGAAAACAAACCATCTCCTCCACTAGGGCTTTGCAATCACGTCTTAAAGCTGCTTGAAATGCTATCTAGATTTGTGGCTCAAAGCATCCAGCGGGGTAGGCTATCGCCAAGCGTGGCGGCACATACATGAAACAATCCAACTTCATCCAGCAGATCCCACACCTCAGGTTTTGCCTATTTGGAGTCATGGGGTAGCTTGAAATGGGAAAGTATCCATCAGGAGTCCACCTCAGGATCTTTGTGCCCCCTCTAGAAGGCACCAATCATCCTGATCTGAAGTTCTAAGATAGATAGGTGGGATATTTCGGGCAGGGCATCAAGAAAGGCCCAAAAAGAACGTAGCAAACCCTCCTGTTCTCCTGATTTGACAGAGACAGACCTATCAGTCCTCTACTGTCCCACTTTTTTTCAACAGGCTTCTCTCTCCTGTTTGCACTTCAGCTTAGTTCAATTGCTACAAACTGAGTTTAAAGCACAAAAGGAGTTTGCGTTCAATTCATTCATCAGAGAGAAGTAGAGAGACGGGGTAGAACCTTGCCCTACCGAACAGACTCAGGCAAAAGCAAACTGCTGCATCCTCTCCTGCTCTATGTGTTCTTCCACAGTAATAACCATTCTGATGATGCTTGGCCACCTGTGTCATTTTCAGCTGCGAATTTTTTTTTTCAAAACTGAAATTTCAAAAAAGGAGTGCATCCATTTGATAGCGCCTGCATCTCTTGCTAGAAATCAGAGTTATCCACTGAAGCTGAATGGTGGGAGTTCCAGGACCCGGGGGGGGGGGGGGGGGGGGGGAGGAAATCTGTCTCCACAAAAAGTACAGCTATTCTATGTGAAGTAGAGATGGAAAATGTATTTGGGAAATCTACACAGTAGAATTAATGCAGTTTCACACCACTTTAAATCTATACTGTAAAATTAATGCAGTTTCTCATCACTGAGACTGGAATCCCAGGTTTCAGCATTAGCCAGGGGAGCTTTTGCACAATAATAACTTGCGTGCCAGTTGTGCCCATACCTTGGGAAGTCAGACTTTGCTACAGTGGTCCATGCTCTTGATACATCTAGGCTAGACTACTGCAATACTTCAAGGATACCATCCATCCATCCATCTTGCCCTTGGTCAGCCCCTCTTCCTTTTTCCTTCCATTTTCCCCAGCATCATACGCTTCTCTAAGCTTTCCTTTCTTCTCATGATGTGGCCAAAGGACTTCATCTTGGCCTCTACTATCCTTCCCTCCAATGAGCAGCCAGGCTTTATTTCTTGACTGGTTGGATCTTCTCGCTGTCCGAGGCACTCTCAGCATTTTCCTCCAACACCACAGTTCAAAAGCATCTATCTTCCTTCGCTCAGCCTTCCATATGGTCCAGCTCGCACGTCCGTAGGTGACTACAGGGAATACCATTGCTTTAACTATGTGGATCTTTGTTGCCAGTGTGATGTCTCTACTCTTCACTATTTTATCAAGATTGGTAATTGCTCTCCTCCCAAGAAGTAAGAATGGATGGTATCCTTGAAGTGACTGGATTGACCTTG